GTAACCTGGGAAAGCATCTTTGCAAGACCTTGCCTAGTTTTCATCAAGATAAAAGGAGGGATGAGAGAAGCATATTCAGACTTGCAAGATTCTGTTACTGCAGCCTTATAATAATAATAGTACAGTATTAGCATTCATAACTTTGGTTTCTTAGTTTGGTGTATGATGGAAAACTGATGGCATATCAGATGTTCTTGAACAGTTACCCCTCATGACCAGTAATAATCAGAGACAATGGGAGCTGATGCCTAATAGCACTAGGATTTAGACTTATATACCACTTCACAGTGCTTTACAGCCTTCTCTACAGAGTCAGCATACTGCCCCCAACAATCTGGCTCCTCATTTTACCGACCTCAGAAGGATGGAAGGCTGAGTCCACCTTGAGCCAGTGAGAATCGAACTGTCGGCAGCCAGCAGAAGTAGACTATAGTACTGAATTCTAACCATTCTAGCCACCACGACTCTGTGGTGAGAGGACTGGAAGGCCTCAGACAGGACCCAACTAGGCTTTAGAGAAGGGCAAACAAAGAGATGGAAAGTGAACCAGCATTATTAGTTTCTTTCCAAACTTGGAAGGGCACTAAGCCCTAAAGCAGTGTTTATCAACCTTGGCAGCTTTGAAGATGCGTGGACTTCAACTTCACATAGCTGGCAGGGGAATTCTGGGGGTTGAAGTCTACACATCTTCAGCTGCCAAAGTTGACAAACATTGCCCTAAGGACTTGAAAAACAGGACACTCACAGTTAATGCTAGGTGGTCAAATAGTGGCCCACAGCTCTATCCCAAACTGGCCAAAAGGCTGAGAAATTAAAGCAACAGGAAACCAGGATACTTGGCTTGAGTTGCGGAAGGAAATCTTGTCACTTGGTGACCCTGAAAGCCACAACTCAAAGCAGAAGCTTCAGGAGTGGCAAAGAACCCACAAGTCTCCAGAAACCCCAGAATCCATTCACCTACCTCTTCTCCAGGTCTGGCAGAGCTCCCTTCCTCACAGATCCACTAAGTCATCCCCCTTCTCCCAGGTAACTCCAAAAAGCCAACATACAACCATTCTGTCTGGCCCCTCTGGGCAACGCTTATGCATGTAAGACAGCTGAGCTCTGCCTGTGTCTTTGGCCTCATTTCACCCCAAGCAGCTGAAACCTGCAGGGAGGGGTAAGGCTACGGGACTAGAAAGGCGCCAGGCAAACAGGCTTATGAAATCCCGGAGCGCCGGTAAAGTTTTTGGAATCTGGAAAAGATTATGACGGCAACTGTCTTGTCAGCTGATGCCCAGGGAATCTGCAAACTTGTTAGTGACTGCAGTCAATCAGCAGGAAGCCATTAAAATGTGGACCAGGCAGCAACATGGGGAGAAAAAAACCCAGAAGGTGTTACTCAAGAATCTGCCAGCTCCTTTTCAGTGGTGACTTTTAAGCACAGCACTTACAGGAAACGTATGACACTAAGCGTTCTTTCTTGTAAATAAATTTCAGGGACTTGTTTCTGGTAAGTCGTTCACCGCTCTGGATCTCTTTTTTTCACTCTGTTATCTTCAGTTCATACTGGCTGGACTCACACATCAAGGGTGAGGAAGCAAAAAGTTGATTTATGTGGTTTGGACTAAGCAGTATGTGTAAATCCAACTGATTATGGCTTTTTCAACAACCAGGGCAAAACAACCCATGATGTGGCATGATATCTGAATTTACTCTTTGTTTTACTGAGTTTATTTAGATTTTCTAAATAACATGTCATTCTTCCTCCTTGCAGTTGCCCCAGATTTCTATCTTACATTTATAATTTATTTTGGGGCAGGAGTGTTGCTGTGTAAGATCTATTCTAGTATTTCTATGTTCCAGATTCCTGGTTCCCATAAGGGCTAACAAGAGGTTCCTGATTATCAGAAAAGGGAAAGGGCTTTTTCTCCTCCCTAACTTCTTGAACTTGGCTAATTTCCTTGAAAATGTCTCAACAGGAACTGTGCCTAATTCCAAAGAATTCAGGAATTAAGTGTTGTAACAGAAAGGTTAACAGGCCACTGCTTCCAGAATAGTTCAAGAAGCCATCTGTTTCTAGGATAATAAATATTTAACTAGAAATTACTTTGAAATCAGCAGAAAAATTTAGTCTATTAAACTATTATCTCTTTTATTAATTTTTCTCATTTTACAGTTGATAGACACAAGGACCTAATTAAGAGACTAGAGTACCCAACACTGTTCTTCCCATGGTCAAAACCCTGGCTAATATGACAGCAATCAAAGGCACATTTTCACATCAATTAATCACAGGATTTCAGCATATTCTGTTATGGAATCTTAGTGTAGTGTTTTTCAACCCTGATGAATTTAAGATGTGCAGACTTCAACTCCCAGAATTCCCCAGCCAGCAGGGGAAAATTTTTCCTGCATCCAGCAGGAAGGCTGGCCAGGAAATTCTAGGAATTGAAGTCCACACATCTTAAAGTTGCCAGGGTTGGGAAATATTGTCATAAAACATTAACAGATCGTTCCCAGAAACACATTATATAATGCAACCCCCAAATTTTACAAGCCCCGCCTTCTCCTTGAACTGAAGGTCTCCTTTGATGCTCATTACCTGAACGATTTGGCAGTGCTGGGCAACATGTTTTTCAGAGTAATTTAGCTGCCATAATTCATCCTCCAGAATACCTGCTAATCAAGCTTCAGGGCTAGTTTTTAGTCTGAAATCTACTGCAGTGTCATCTCATCAGTTTCTTCATTCAGCTAGTCCGAATCTCAAGCCAACTAACTTGAAAACGTGGCTCATAAATGCCAATGTTTATATCTTGACTTTCAGAAGCAATTTAAGGCAGCAAACAACATATTTTATTATGAAAACACAATTTCATATTGCCCAGTGCCAGCCCACAGATCTCAAATATGCTAGCTCTTCCAAGGTTTGATATTATCATGTGTACTTTTGCTTTTTAGTCTTTAGTCCGTCAGGTAATTCTACACGTAATATAATATACAATATTATATTGTATATTATAATACATATAATTTACCCTGAACTATTAGCACTGCATTTGGGGGGGAGAAAATTAATTGAGGGTTGTTTTTTTCCCCAGTCGTTACTCTTTTAATATTACATGTTTGCATTTTTTTGGAACAGCTGCCACATACCAAGAAGTGGGGGACCATCACCCCTTTCTCGCCAGGTCTAGCTGTTTACATTTACAGGTTACAGTTCTAGTAAGGGAAAATGAACAAAGTAGGATGTCTTAGAGGGCAGCCCAAAGAGATCTAACACCCGAAGGGGACCAGGTGACTTCTGTCAATCACCAGCCTTGTCATTCTGGTCCTGGTTTAATCTACTGGATTAAACCAATTTAAACACTTTCAGTTCCTGAGTTGTGCTTATAAACCTCTGTAATCCTAGGCGCTGGAGAACTACTAATGAACGGGTGCCATCAACATGGGCAAGACCAAAATTTCCTGGCCGCCTTTCTCCCACACCCCAATATGTGCCCCAAGGAGCCTAGTGTTTGAATGCTATTCATTGGAAGCAACTCAGGAAGCAGAAATAAAAATTTTTTAAAAAAGGAGAATGGCCATCCATTCTCTGCTCCAGATGTTTCACTTTGGGACCTGCAGTGGTTGCTAGCAAGGGTGTTTTTGTTTTGCTTTTACCCATTGTCACAAAAAAAAAAAAATTGTGTTCCAACTTCCTTCCTACCCCATATCCTTTTCATAACCCATGATTATTCTTAAACCCTCTTTTCTTTAACGCTGCAACGCGCCCACTCGGATCATTCTCCAGGGTGGGCACCTGGAGTCCTGAATCCCCTCTCCCACCCACTCTGCCAAACCCATCAGGCGGCAAAAGGCGAACCCCAGTTCCGTCCCAGCGCCTGCATCCCCCCCCCCCACTACCCCATAATAAAAACCAGGAAGCTGCCTCCTACCTTCTGTGCCGGGTCAACAAGAAAGCAGGGTCTAAAGCTCCCCCCACCCCCGTCTGCGCAAGCACAATGGTATGTTCCTTAAATGACATCTTACCGCCAAGCCGAAATGCCGCCGCAGTTTCCACACTTCGGGACCAGACTAAACCAGCTGCTTTTTTTCTTAGCAGAAAAAGGGGGAACTGATGGCAGGCGGTTTTTTTGACGGAGATAAAGGCAGCAATGCCGCATGGGAAATGCAGTCCAGCTAAAGCGCTTCCATGAAGCTTGACAGGAGCTCCGAGAAATACGAATCCCAGAAAGCCTCGCGCGACATGGGAGGAGCCTGACGGGAAATGTGGTATTAAAGACCCATCAGATAAGTCTTTGTAACGAAGGCGAAGGACGGTCGTGTGACTAATGAAACAAGCGTTTATTTCAGTAACTCGTAACCCGCCGTGAAATACATCAACTTTCAAAAGCGGTAGAATATATCTATCTATCTATCTATCTATCTATCTATCTATCTATCTATCTATCTATCTATCTATCTATCTAGGGGTATCCCATTCCCTAGAAAAAACGTACTGCAGTTTTTTTTTAAAAAAACCACAGGATTAATCTTTACATTTTTCTTTATAATACAGTGCTGATGCAAAGAAGCACTTAACATATAATTGCCTTTTGAGATTTCTGAATCTCAAAGGCATTTCTGTACTCCTAATTGAAAATAGAAATATCACCAAGTCTTTTTTTTTCACCTTTGACATGTTTCTGACCCTGCTTTTATTATCATTCCAAGATACATATATATATATTTGGCTTGAACAGCTATTTTTAGCATAATCAATTTATGCAAATATTCTTCACTCTTAAAAAAAGTACTATTTATAAATCAAGACGTCTCTAGGAGAAATTAAAGAAATATATTAGTAGAATTATTATTTTTTAAATGAAAAGTGGAAAAGAAGGTATTATTTTTCCTTTATGTGAAAAGAAATAGTCAAAAAATACTGATGTAACTTGAAAACAGGGTTGGCTTTTACATAACTGTATACGTCATGATCATACAAGTCGTAACTGAGTCAATTAGACAGAAAGTCAATCTGGATTTTTGTCTTCGTTGTCTTTATTTTTGGGATAAAACATTACAAAGAGTTAAATTCAGAGCTCCTTGCATTAATAGAAAAACAGCGTCCCCTGCTGCTAGCTGAGAGAACAATTCCTCCATTGTTTCAAATCTTTCCATTATTTCACCTAAAAACGAATGGGAACAAGTGTTGCTTGTTATAAACATAATTTTAATGTACAAAAAGGGAACCCGCATGTCCCTTCTGCCCAACTTTCTCTTCCTGCAACAGGAATGAGAAGCTAGAAACTGATTCCATTAAAACAAAATGAAATATTAGCCCGGTGGCTGGCAAATATATTTTGTCACACATAGAAATGGCTCAGGAACTTTTGGTGCCCAATACAGAAAATCAAAATCAGTGTTTAAAATAATAGTTATCCAAACTACCTTTGTAAAATGTAAGTCTAATATATTAGCTATGTTTTAAATGGCTGAATATGTCATAATTCAATTTTTGTAAATTCACAACTGAAGAACAATGCTCTTGGATTTATTTTTGCTACCAACGAAGGATAATATTTGTAGCTCAGAGTTGAAATGAAGGATCTTTGGTGCTCTCTGAGCTTGGTTATTTTCTTGAAGACATTTCGTGACCCAAACTAGATAACATCATCAGTTCAAAGCACTGATGAAATTACCTAATTTGGTAATTAAATGTCTGCAGCAACCAAGCTCAGAGAGGACCAAGGACCCCTTATTTTTGTTAACTCTGGACTTTTGCTTTGCAAGAACATCTCTGTATACAGAATTATTTTTGAGTTTGCTTCTTACCAGGAGAAATTACAGGTAGTCCTTGATTTACAACTGGTTGTTTTACAACCAGTCGTTATGACAGCCTATAATGGGTGCTTTATGGCCTGTACAACTTCTGGCTACTGTATTGTAAAATGTGCCCACACACTCAAAGTCATGTGACCGCACTCTGATCTCTTAAAAACTGGCTTGTATTTACATTTACAATGTCCCAGTCATCTGACCATGATTTATAATATTTGTTTGCTGGTTTCAGGCAAAAAATAGCAATTCAGAAAAATGGGCTTTTTAAAATAACTATGTGATTCACTTAACAACTCGGGTGATTTTCTTAATAACCACAGTAAAAAATGAAAGGGGAAAAGTGGTGATGTGGACACTTCAGCTTACGAATGGAACAACTTACAACCAGATTTCTAGTCCCAATTGATACCATAAGTTAAGATCTACTTGTAACTGTTTACAGATGGCTTTGCATCTGTTTATAATCTTCGTTTCACAATCCATTGAATATAATAATTTGGGCTGTGGATCTAGACCAGTCTCAAGTTTTAATTTACCTACAATGTGAAGTGTTTTATTTCTAATAAAAATAATTATCTGCAACTCGCTATTCTTTTTCCACAGTTATGCATCACTATCTGCTATTTGGGGAACTCAGTTTGCCAAATGATATGGCGTAAAACCAGGCAAAGGAAAATAATGATGAGAAAAGTAAACCAGGCCTGATCATCAGTGTGAAATGGTATTGATTTAAGCAGCCCCTCTTCAATGGGGAGTCGCTTTTAATATCATAGTCCAAAATCTTTAAAAGTTGATATTAAGCAGGGCATCTGCTTAAGATGGATGTCGAATAGCATGAAAACGGCAGATATAACTGAATGATAAGACCCTACTTCTTTTTACATGCGTGTGATATGTGCCATGCATATGAAAAAAGGGCAAGTATTAATGACCTGGTTGCCCATATTATGTTTGATGTTATCTACCCCTATATTAAACCTTCTCCTACATCTTAATCCATTCATAAAACTCCTCCATTTACCCCTTTCTAAAGTCTAAAGTTATCAAGGATAACCCGTAATTGTACAAAACGAGCATACATAAAACAATTTAAAAGAGCTAAGGAAAAATGCCACTTAAAAAGTTGTTAAAATCAAAACAGCTTAATTTTGGTTTGCACCGTGCAAGGTAGCTTCCATTTTAGTTCCAGGTAATAGAAATCAGGTATGATTTCTGACATGTTTGAAGTCTGAAAGATGATGGGAGGCATGCTGACGAACATGATCTCCTAGGCAAAGAAGAATGAAGGTGGTGTCTAAACTGCCTACTTGGTCATCTTCAAAAACAAGGGATTGTCCAGGGCCAAAAGGACATGGTGTTCAGTGCCTCTTGGCTTTTGTCTTCGGTGGGGGTGGATGGTTGAGGTAGCCCAGGCGCTTGTAGTTTATAAACAGGAGGGCAAAGTTGAGGATGTAGGTGCTGATGCAAATCACACAGAAGTCGTGGAGCACATAAAAAAGGATATAGGCCAAGTAGAGAGATCCAGCAATGGAGACAAATGAAGAGCCCACTAGAGCGATGGCCGCCAGGTTGTGGTGAAAGAAACCTAAGAGGAGGAACCAGGGTTAACTTCTCTTCAGCAATTTGACATAAATGCTGCTATTAGTCAGGAGTTAAGAGTAAATACATAAATTGATCAAGGAGCTTACATCCTAGAGAGAAGTGTTTTTTAATCTGAGCAACTTTAAAATGCATGGACTTCAACTCCCACAATTCCCCCCTGCAGGAAGAATCCCCACCTGCCCCCGGCAAGCTAGGGAATTCTGGGAGTTGAAGTCTGCACATCTTAAATTTGTCAGGATTCAAAAACAGTGTTAAAGTTGCTCAGACTGAAAAACACTGCACTAGAGAAAGTGGCTTGGCTCAGAGGTTTGTGTGAATCATGGTTCAGGACTTAGCATGGTTGTGTGAACTTATTTCATGTTTGATCAAACTATGGTTAAGCAAGCTATGGTTTATCGTAACATGGGAACCCAGCGTACATCTGTTTCTCACTTCTCCTTTTCCTATGTTAACTACGGAGTGCCAATCCCCACCTACCCCCATAAAATCACTCCCCCTGAAGATCACTCCCTGTTCTTTTTCTTTGGTGTCCCCATGGTACAACTCTTGTGCAACCACTGTGTCACATCTTTTACCTAATGAGCACATTCTGTCCTGCAAAAAAAAAATATTTTTTTTGAAGATTTTTCCTTTTTTTACATTTCTGCAGACTTGGAACTTTATCCAGTATTTATCATCTTTCATTTGTTTCCCACTCTTCCTATTCCAAATACTCTTCTATTGATGTTCATGATTTAAGCAAGAGTAATATGGGCAGTCCTTAACTTACAACTGCAATGTTTTTGTCAAAAACTGGCATTTATTTCAGTTTCCAGCAAAAAAAAAACCCCTCTATCGGCTAAAATTTATTCCCTTAACCACACCAACAAAGGTGGTTATAAAATTGGGTGCAGTCATATGGTGATTTATTTAATGACCAGCATGACTTACGACTATAACTCTAAGATCAATTATGGTCATAAGTTGAGGACTACCTGTATTATGAATATTTGAGCAAGCCTGAAGATAAATCAGCCAACTAATTTCTTCCGCTAAGGAAGACAATAAATTAATGCTGGCTAGTAAGCCATGTGAAGAAACTGCACTAGCTAAACCTGCTTGGATGACCATTTGTTATGGCAACCTAGCTCACAAGAAACCCCTCCCCCCCACAATGTAAGCCATTCTAAACTCTGAGAGAAAAGACAAGATATACATCTAACCAATAACAACAGAATTATCAGGCAATTTGGATCTAAAGAGGACGAAAGGATGGGCCTTTCTCCATCATGCTTTCTTGCACATTCTGTGCCTCTCACTCACCCAGAAGTATCTGCAGAATGTAGAAAATAATCCCAAAAATGCTGTTTGGCTGATTGAAGAGGCTGTGAGGTCCCAGAAGGTCTGCCACCAAGCCAAAACCACGACCCCACCTGGAAGAAATAATGCTGGGTAATGATTACAGCGATAATAAGCAGAGGGAATCTTGGCCTGAAGCTAGATGGGAGAAATTGAAAAACAACACGCTGTCCTGAAAGAGAAGCAGGCAACTATTTTTGTGTGAGACACTTGACAGAAAGGAAATTGGGCTTTGAAGAAATAGGAGAAAAAGAGTACGAGTAGTCTTTGAGTTATGATTTGTGAATGGGACCAGAAATTCTGTTGTTAAGCAAGATGGTTGTTAGGTGCATCATGCCCAATTTTATGATTGTTTTTGCTATGGCTGTTAAGCAGGGTGGATTTGATTTAAATCGAGTCGATTTAAATCACTAGTAAAGAGACTTGATTTAAATCAACTCGATTTAAATCATAATTTTTAAAGAGCAACTGTCATCTCTGCTACTCCTTTGACCCGCTGTTGACTCACCGATAGTCCCAGTGTTGCAGAATATACAGCCTTGTGCTACATAACTAAGCTCCATTTCATGCTGAATAAACTAAATTATTTATGTATTTTAAATAGAAAACTATTTTACGGTAGATTTTTACCCCAAAAGTTTTTTATTAAAATAAATTCAATAAAAATAAAAAAAAATCTGATTTAAATAAAAAAATCCGATTTAAATAAAAAAAATCTGATTGTTTTGATTTTTTAAAAAAAATCATTTATTTTTATCCACCCTGCTGTTAAGTGAACCACTGTAGTTGTTAAGTATCATGCAGTCATTAAGCAAATCTGCTTCCCTTATTGACATTGCATGTTGGAAGCTGGGCAAGATTTCAAATGGTGATTACATGATCCTAGGATGTTGCCACCATGCTCAATACATGCTGCTTATCAAGCGCCTGGATTTTGATCACTTGAGCTTGGATGCTAAAGACAGTTGTTAAATGTGTATGGCATAAAGAATCAGGAGCACACATTACATTCCTGTTAAACCGACATATAGCTTATGTCTATAAACAAGAATCTAATCAACTAACAGTCGGCACTAAATTGGTGCTAGATAAGACTTAATGGAATTTAAGGAGGGCGGGACTTAGGTTGTTTGTGGGAACATCTGTGGGAACAGCTCCACGCTAATTCCTCTCTTGACTCCACCCTCAGTTTCTGCCTTGTCTTTTTCTACAGTAAATACCGGTTGTAAGTCAGTTTTTCTAGGGCGGCTGTAGCTTTGAACAGTCACTAAACAAATGTTTATAAGTCAAGAACTGTATTGATGCTTCTCAACTTTGTCATGGGAGAAGACTTTTGAGAATACCATGGTCAGACAAGAAAACAAGCAGACGGCCTCATTGAACAAACCAGCCCAGCATTCTCACTCAAGGCACAAATGACCAGGGCTGTCTTAACGCATGGGCCTGATAGGCACTTGCCCGCGGGCCCCATGAGCATAGGGGGCCCATACTAAATCTCTGTATGTTAACCCTTCAATGCACTTTGTATCATATAAATACAGCAACTGTATGGCTTACTGAGTATTATTGTGTTTTTCAAGCCTCGTGTATTATTCAAATGTTTATCATGTTGATTAGTTGTTGCTGCACAGCATGTTTTTAATGTTTCAACACCAATTTTGTTGAAAGTGCCAATAAAATAAATATATGTTTAATTTTACTGACCATTTACATTTTTATTCCTGTGAGGAGTTGTCGTAGGGGCCCCAGTACACTGCTTTGCCCAGGATCCATAATGCTGTTAAGACAGCCCTGCATGTTTAAACAAGCTAACTTTGGACATACTATAGAAAAATGTAGTTATTTGGTGAATGCTCGAATGGGGTGAAGGTCACTCTGCCCCTCCTTTGCCTCATATTTTATTTTGTTTTACAGGTTGCTCAACTCCCACATGATTCTGGACAATGTATAAGAAAAACCCAACTTGTTAAATGAAAAATTAAACAAACGAACCAGAAGAGCGAAGTATGAAAACCAAAAACACAGTGAAAATAAAAAGGGGGCTTCCCGGGCCTGGGAGTCTTCTATAATTTCCAGAATGCCATCAGGCTGGAAGCTCCATAAACTTCTGGTGGGAAATTGATCCAGAGAGCAGGAACTGCCCACAGCGTAGGCCCACTTCCTGGGTCAAGAAAAATGACATTCTTTAATTGGCAGGCCCCAAAGCTCACCCAACTTGAACCAGAGAAGCAGAGATAACTAAAGTTAAGCAGTCCCGTAGGTCAGGGGTCTCTGGCTAGGGAATTCTGAGAATTGAAGTTTGCCAGGTTTAAAGTTGCCAAGGTTGGAGACTCCTGCCTTAGGTAACCAGGCCCTTTGCTATGCAAGGCTTTAAACCAGCACCATGCATTGCATCCAGAAATCAACTGGAAATCAGTGCAGCTCATGCAATATTTGCAAATTGCAATTTGCAAATATTTGCAAAGAAACTCTGCCAACTCCTTTTCAGCTCTTTTCTCTCTTGGCCTCCAGAAGACACTCATCTCTCACTGGGAGTTGAGAGGCAAAGTCATCCAAAAATTGATCAAGTCTTTTTCAGTGGTACTAGAAGATAGGAGTTCACATCACGGCTCAGATGCTGGTTCTGATGGGAAAGACTGTCTCCCCCCCCCCCCCCCAAATTTCCCGGGAATTATATTGGAGCCTAACCAGAAACCAAAATGACAAGGGCATTTCAGTTAAATTGTAGAGTAGCGAGTCCTGGGCCAGAAGCCACAGATTTACTTATAAACACAACGTGGATGAAGAGACAGAACAGGGGAAATGGGAACCACAGTATCAAATAGTTCAGTTCTATTCCAGCCTGGGATAAAACTAGCTTAATTAACTTTTTCTGAAGGTCTGTCCTTTTCATTTGCATAGAGAACTTTTATTTATTTGCATCTTGCCTTTATTTTTACAAATGATTAAAACACACAAATTCTCCCTTGCAGCTGATACAGAACATTATCTCAGGGAGAATGAAACCTAAACTTTGGGTAATTCTGAATCTTTTTTTCTCTACAGGTAGTTGTTCGCTTATGACTACAATTGAACTCAAATTTTTTGATACCAAGCAGGTCAGTTGCTACACGAGTTTTGCACCATTTTACATCCCTTTTTGCCATAGTTAGACAAATCTTGTGTGAACCAGCCATTAAACAAATATGGCTTTCTCCACTTCCCCCACTGACTTTGCTTTTTGGAAGCTGGCTGGGAAAGTTATAAACAGTGATCACATGATCCAGGACAGTGCAACTGTCATAATAAATATATTTATGCACCCAAATTGTGATCACGTGACCACAGGGATGCTACAACAGTGGTAAGTGTGAAAAATGGTCATAAATAACATTTTTTCCCAGAGCTTTTGTAATCTTAAACGGTCCTTAAAGAAATGGTTGTAAGTCTGTGGCGAAGACCGAAAGCCCAGCTCACAAGAGACATTAGCCAGCTCTATAATATCAAATGTGCTGGGATGGCATTTTGATCCTGTTCTTGGTAAACCTACAGTGGGGAATCTGAATAGAAGCGCTGCCAGTTTCCCCAACAGCAGAACCCCATTGGCTTTTCCTGGGCTAAGACCAGGCCAGGTGGCCAGAGCTGCAGGCTCGATTGGGAGGGCAGAAAAACTCCTTAAAGGAAGCAAAAGACCAGCCACTTCCGGATTTTTGCTAAGAAAATTACAGGATATCCAAAACCCAAGCTTGGCTCTGAAAGCGTCCTGGCCCTAGGAATATTGCAACATCCAGACTCTGAATTCCTGCAGCCCTGGATCTCCTGGTGGTCTCCCGTCCGGAATAAACATCTCAACCTGGAAATGGAGAAACTTAGGGGAAGTCGTTCGGGTTTTCTCCGCGCTTCCTCAATACGGATCCTCCCCGGAGACCCGACAAACCCCCCAACCCCTCCCACTTAATGAAACCCGAGCTTAGGGGATGCAAGTTTAGAGGGCGGAGAAGCTTGGGGTCCGCTGGATCGGAGCTGGTGGGGGGCACCACCGACCTGGAGGTGAAGACCCGGGAGCAGCTGATGTCGGCGCTGATGTCGCACATAGCCCGGTAGGCGGCGTCGTGCTCCTTGGAAGTCTCCACGTGCCAGGCGTAAATAGAGAGCGCCAGCCCCGCCGCGCAGAGCAGCAGCCGGGCTACGCGCTCCCACCTGGGCACCGTCATCCTGCCGTCGGCCACGAGGAGAGGACACTGACCGCTGGAGCCAATGCTGCTTCTCCCAGCCTGGCCCTGGGACACTAGGCCGTTTCCCATTGGCCGGCCTGCGGGAGTTCGAACTGGCATCCCAGCCAATCAGAGAGCGGAGGTGGGAAAGGAGCAAGGCATGCTGGGGGCTGTAGTCTTCTGGCGTTCTCTAAATAGGGGCCTTCCTCCTGAGCATCTCAGGTTGGCCGAGGATCAGGAATGGTGATAGACTAGGTCTAGGACAGGGGACTCCAACCTTGGCCACTTTAAGACTTCAACTCCCAGAGTTCAAAGCTGGCTGAGGTACTCTAGGAATTGAAGTCTACAAGTCTTAAAATGGCCAAGGTTGGAGACCCCTGGTCTAGGAGAATGAAACGTAAACTTTGGGAAATTCCAGTGGTGAAATCCAATTTTTTTTACTACTGGTTCTGTGGGCGTGGCTTGGTGGGCATGACACTCCAGGTGTAGGATACTGCAAAATCCCCATTCCCACCCCACTCCTGGGAGAAGGATACTGCAAAATCCCCATTCCCACCCCACTCCTGGGAGAAGGATATTGCAAAATCTCCATTCCCACCCCACTCTGGGGCCAGCCAGAAGTGGTATTTGCCGGTTCTCTGAACTGCTCAAAATTTCCGCTACCAGTTCTCCAGAACCTGCCAGAACCTGCTTTATTTCACCCCTGGCTAATTCTGAATCTTTTTTTCTGTACAGGTAGTTGTTCAGTGATGACCACAATTGAGCTCAAAATTTTTGATACCAAGCAAGTCAATTGTTACATGAGTTTTGCATCCCTTTTTGCCACCGTTGTTAGGCAAATTGTTGCAGTTCTTAAGTGAACCATGCAGCCATTAAACAAATCTGGCTTTCCCCATTGACTTTGCTTGTTGGAAGCTGGCTGGGAAAGTTATAAAGTTATAAACAGCGATGGCTGAGGAACTCTGGGAATTGAAGTCCATAAGTCTTAAAGTTGCCAAGGTTGGAGATCCCTTGTCTAGGAGAATGTGCCACCTGAGCTTTTAAAAGGCAAGGGCTCCCTCTAGTCCGACAGAACTCCAGCAATCCTATGGACATTCCTTGATTAGAGCAACAATACAGAAATGGTTGGAAATTGCCCTTCAGGGATGTTTTTCCCACATTAGACTGCAATGCAGCCCTGGTGTTTTAACACAACCATTATCTTAATCAGATGCCAGCTTGTTTAGTATTTCTAAGAGGATTGGGGCAGTGGTGGGTTTCAAATTTTTTTACTATCAGTTCTGTGGGTGTGGTTTGGTGGGCATGGCATGGCTTGGTGGGCGTGGCTTGATGAGCTGGCAGGGGAAGGATACTGTAAAATCCCCATTTCCTCTCAATCCACTGGGATTTGGGAGGCAGAGAATAGATGGGGGCGGGGCCAGTCAGAATTTTTCCACTGGTTCTCCAAACTACTCAAAATTTCTGCTACCGGTTCTCCAGAACTGGTCAGAACCTGCTGAAACCCACCTCTGGATTGGGGTAGTGTGGCTTTGGTGTGATAGGTAACTCTTGCCACAACTTTGTAGATGGAGTCTGTAGAGATACTCAAACATCCACGTCATGGTTGTCCGAAAGTTGTTTTTTTCAGGAGGCAACTGGACTTCCTTGTTTTTTCTTTGAGGACGTTTTGCTCCTCATCCAAGAGGATTCTTCAGCTCTGACAGGATAGTGGGGGATGGAAGGATTTATGTTCCTTGCACAGAGCTGGTCATCTGCATGCTTTTAGAGCAGGGGTGTCAAACGTGCGTCATCATGGTGGTGTCATGTGACATATCAGGACTTTTTTCCCCTTCGCTAAACCAGGTGTGAGCATGGCCAGCATGTGATGAATCCGAGCTGTGAGCCACGAGTTTGACAGCCCTGTTTTAGAGGGTTGCTGAAACACTTGGAGGTTTATCTGTGTCCTCAGGATCACCTGAGTAGCGCTCCTGGTTCCTTTAGTCTGCAATTTTTCTTTGGAAATCCATTCTACTCCCACACCATTCAAAGGGTGTTCATCCAAATTGTATAGCTAAAAGTCTGTAGAGATTATCAGTCATCCAAGTCATAGTTGTCCTAAAGGTGTTTTTTCAGGAGGCAACTGGACTTGTTTTTTCTTCCAGTAGTCATCCAGATTCTTTGTGGCCCAGATCAGAGAGCTGACTGGTTGCTGCCATTGGGCTGTGGAGTTGTGCAGCTAGAAAGAAAACAACTACTGGTTATTATTTATTTAATTTGGTGTGAACAGCCCTGCATTTTGGCTGCCCCAAAAGAGAGGCTTGCAGTTAGGTGCCCAAACAGGTTAGCAAAACTCAGATTGGGAGGAGGTGGGGGAGGGAAGAAAAATACCAGTAGATTAGTACGTGCTCTGTAGGTTACCCTAAAGCTTATACATTACATTATCTTAGAACTGATGGAGACTCAAATGTTATTCAAATGTTTATGTATCTAAAACTTTATTTTTGTTCTCAGAACAACTGCCAGCAAAGATAAATGCAAGTCAGAACTAAAACAAAATGGAAAAAATAGCATTAACAATAAGCTAGATAAAGCAAATTAAGGCCAAATTAAAATAAACTGATTTCCGCCTCATTGCCAAAGCAGCATGAAAATAATCCTGGGTATAGTTCTGAGGAAGAGTATTCTTTAGCTGGAAGTTTCCGATAAAACAGTTGCTTGGGTTCATGGTTTTTTCCCAATAGAGGAACGCGGAAAAGAAAATCTTAAAATCTTGGCCAAATGATTTAGAACAGAATTTCCCAACTGTGGCAAAACATGTTGGCTGGGGAATTCTGGGAGTTGAAGTCCACGTGCCTTAAAATCGCTAAGGTTGGAAAACTCTGATTTAGAGGCATTGGGCAGCAAGTTGTGAAAGATTTTAAGGCTCCAAAGCACTTCAGATTGAGCTGTGAAGAGAAGGTGATCCCAACTAGCTTATTCAGCCGTTTCAAAATGACTTGCTGGTGTTTGCTGAGCCTCAATGATTAACCATGCCAGCTTTGTTTTAAATAAACAGGAATGTCTAAATAATCTACAGAGATAAATCTCATGGACCACGCACCAAAATAATGCAGCTGCGAATTTGCCAAGGCCTCAATAATTTTAAATATACAGGTAGCTCTTGACGTATGGCCACAATTGAGCCCAAAAATTCTGTTGCTAAGCAGGACAGTTAAATGAGTATTGCCCCATTTTATGGCCTTTCTTGCCACAGTTATTAAATGAATCACTGCATTTGTTAAGTTGATAACATAGTTGTTAAGTGAATGTGGCTTCCCCACTGACTGCTTGTCAGAAAGTTGCAAAAGTTGATCACATAACTCCTTGGACACTGCACCCGTCACAAATATGAACCAAATCTCCAAATTTTGATCATGTGACAATGGGGATGCTGCAACAGTTGTAAGTGTGAAAAATGGTCATAGTCATTTTTTTTTCAATGCCATTGTAACTTTGAATAGTCACTAAACAAATGGTTGTAAGTCAAGGACTACCTGTATATATGTAGTTATTTCATTTAATGTATTGCTGCCTTTTATTTTTATATCAATTGGACAATATGTGACTAGGATCCAGACTTGGGAGAACTTGCCCTAGTTAAATTTACCCAGGGAAGAAGCAAGTGGTTAAGTAGCATTGGGAAAGAAAATGTTTAGTCCTATAATGGCCTAAAAAGATAGGACCAAAGGAATTGCTTCTCTGCTAGCCAAATATTGTTATTTTAAAAGCAGGAAGAAAAAAAATCTTTAAATCAGGGGTGTCCGACCATGGCAACTTTAAGACTTGTGGACTTCAACTCCCAGAATTCCTCAGACAGCCAATGAAGTCCACAAGTCTTAAAAGTTGCCAAGGTTGGATACCCCTGATTTACATGATGTGAGATGGGGTAGGATAGAAGGCACCTTAAAGCTATCAAAAGCCACCCTAACAGGAAAAAAGCTTTCTTATGGTCTGTGAACTTGTATGATCTCATTTTCAGAGAACAGGGATAACTGGTTGGTTGGCAGATTTAATAGGAGCACTTAATACTGCAATTTTTGACCCCAGGTCCCATTTTATAGGTGTCAGTTGAAATGGGTGTTCCAATGCTCTGTCAGGAAAGGAACAAACACTTTATAGCCAAATGTTAGAAGACTACATTGTCTTTTATTAATCACATTGTCTTTGATTAATATTTAACTTTAAACAATGTAATGCCTAAGTTTTCTTTTTTATATATATATATTTTCATTTCATTTTATTTATTGCATTTTTGGAAGGGCCCATCTCCTTCATAAAGAGATACTGGGCAGTGTACAATAAAATACTTTAAAGCAGGGGTCTCCAACCTTGGCAACTTTAAGCCTGGAGGACTTCAACTCCCAGAATTCCCCAGCCAGCTTTGCTGAAGTTGAATAGACACTAAAGACTGCTTTAAAAGATTAAAAACAGTATATGAAAGTTAACATTTAAAAGAGGCAAATATGATTTAAAACAATGTTAAATCCTGCATTTTGTGCAACTCCTCTCTTTCTGATTGCTTAGATCCTTTTGCAACAATTCTTGGCTAAAAACTTGCTTTAAATATATCCACAGTAGCACGATGAATATGCAGCTTCTTCTTTTTTAATCACAGCATGCTATGAAAGCGTGACTTGAATGGAAAAGTAAAAGGAGAAATGGCACGTACAGGCAAATTGAAAGGCTGATGTATGTACATTTAAAAAATAAAAATAAAATACTGTCTGTGTTTTCCCAAGGCAAAAATTAATACAGATAATCCTCAATTTACGACCCCAATTGAGCCCAAATTTTATCTTGCTTAAGTGAGAAAAATTCACTTAACAAATTTCTCACTTAGAGAACTTTCCTTGGCACATTTGTTAATTGAATCGATGTAGTGGTTAAATTAGTAACACTGTTAATGTAAATGAAGCGGGCTCTGATAGATGACCACTGGATAACTTTCTATTCACTCTATTCTAAAAAGCAATGCATCCGGTTGGAAAAAGTACAAACTCAGCCAAAATCCTTTTGGTTCCTCTAGGAGGCCTCT